AATATGACATGACAGCTTAATTTTATTATTAGGATTGTTGTGGTATTTTGCCCTTACTGGATGGGTTATGCCGGAAAGTCAGCGTACGTGAGGTAGGTGATCTGCCCATGTAGGACTCTGTTTGTTCCGGATTTGTGTTCAGCCTTTGTCTCTGTTTCTTTAGATAAAAAATGCGAGTGTAGACCAGCTAGCCGCCAGCCATTATGATGTCTGCATGTCTCCATCAAGGCTTTCATTATGTCATTGTTTTAAACTCATTCGTACTTTGAAACTTTGAATGAGCATGTTTTTTTCTTCTTCAGTGTTTATGGTCAGTCACCTCAGTCTATTAGAAAGAGTATGAATTGTTTGTTGACAGCTAGAACATTAATGTTCTCTGTGTGACAAAATGAATTACCACCCTTCTGGCTCTCAGCAGACAATATGTATACTGAGCTATTGAAGGCGGATTGTGTCATTTGTTGTTCAAAATTATCTTTCAAAGCATTTTGGATCATTGTAGACTAATTATATTGTAATGAGTAATACAGTTTATTCAGGAAATTCTAGTCTCTCAAAAACGAAATCATTTAAAGATCCTAGCTAAAGCTGGCAGTAATAAATATTTTCATAATCTATCTTTATTAGAAATTATGGACACTCAAAGTCAATACTAATTTGTTTAGCCTGTTAAAACATTCATTTTTCTTTGAATCAGCCTCCAGGGTTTAAATCACGGACTATTCTGATTTACTCCAGGACTTGCCTAAAAATGTGTCAAAACAATGACTTTGCAAAATCACCCATTTCAGGTCATGATGAGCTACATGACCATTTACCCTGTTAGATCTTAAATCTTTGGACAATAAAAACAGATTATCTGTCTTCATGTAATCAAATCAAATGAAGAGTCTGTATTAAAGGTAAAGACCAGTTATGGTCATGCGATTGCATTGTGAAAGAAACGTTGTGGAATCGATCAGAAAAGGTTGATCATCTAGCATCTAGCATCTGCAAGGTTCTGGAATCATCAAAATGATAAGAAATTTGGCCCATTCTTTGTAAAGTTACAAGCACTATACACAGAAAGATGTATATGGGACTACCCTATATCTCTCACGGACCATGAGAGAAACAAATTTACCAAATATATGAATTAGTAGGCAGTTTCCCGGCAAATTTTTTATCATCGTGTATTAGTCAAAACATATTCTTTCACATGATTGGTAATGAGAGCTTCCATTTCATTTTTTTAAATTGGGGCGTTTCCAATACTGGTCTTTACCTTTAAGATGAACTATGAATTTATGTTATACTTGTTTGCAAGCTTGTGACTTGAACAAGATAAGTGCTACCGGTTTAGGTAAATATTAGGTCTATTTACTTATGCCCACTTAGGCACTGCACACTATACAATCTGACAATGATCCGATTTAGGAAGAATAGGCAACAGGATTTTATATAATCATTGAAACATGTCAAATCTTAATGACCAAGGTTCTGAATGGTATTATGATTAATGAATCGCAGTGACTAGAGATCAGTAGTGCCATTGTCTACGATTTGAAGCTGATTTGGCTGTTATTCTGGAATAGAAGGCTTCAATGTTGTTAGTATTTGTAACATTATTTAGAACCTAAGCCAGAAAGACGATTTTTCTGTATTTACTTCAGCTTCAAGCATAATTGCAATATCTTTGAAAAATCTGATCGCAAGAAGATCTTATAGTGTGGGATGGCTCTTCATATTACAGACATTACTGACAGCCTGACAGGTACATAATAACTTTCGATTGGAGTTAATCCACCTGTAATGGTGCCAACTATCATCGTTCCGCTTGTCAACTAATTTGCCAAGTTTGCGAGACATATTAGTCTGGTGTAGACATTTGGTTACCCCCTCTGTTTTAAAGGTAAAGACCAGTTTTGGAAATGCTCCCCTCTCAAAAAAAATGAAATGGAAGCTCTTATTACCAATCATGTGAAATAATATGTTTTGACTAATACGTGATGATACAAATTTTACCGGGAAACCTCCTACTAATCGATATACAGTGTGTATTTGGTAACTTATTGTATCTATTTGGACGTGATAGATATAGCGCATGTGTCGCGCACATGTCGCATAGTCCCATATACATCTTTCTCTGTGCATGCAGTGCTTGTAACTTTACCAAGCCAAATTTCTTATAATTTTGATGATTCCAGAACCTTGCAGTACACAACAATACTGCTAGATGATCAACCTTTTCTGATCAATTCTACAAAGTTTTCTGATCGATTCCACAACGTTTCTTTCCCAATGCAATGGCATGACCAGAACTAGTCTTTACCTTTAAAGCAACTGGCACAGTATCAACCTGTATTTGCACCTTTTGACAAGTTACTAATTGAAAAGCGTGATAAAAAAAGTGGGATGTAATGAAAATATAAAAGTAAATTAGCAAGAGGATTGGTTGCGGCACATAATTTTATTTTCAAAATTTTGCTTTCAATAGATGGTTCATTTCCTGGCCCCCAAAAATGTGTGGTTGTTCACAAAATGTCACCCCCCCCCCCCTCTCTCTCTATCTTTCTGTCTGTCTCTCTGTGTGTGTCTCTCTCTCTCTCTCTCATACACCCTCTCACTCTCTCTCTCTCTCTCTCTCTCTCTCTCTCACACACACACAGACTCTCTCTCTCTCACACTCTTTGCTAGCTATTGAAGGGAACTTAAAAAGAGTATGTTTCTCAGGCTGATCGAGTGCAATATTGCCCTGTCAGTGGTAATTGATATATATTTATTTTCCCTGAGGAGTCACAATCGGTCAAACTACCATTGCTATCTTCATGTACATATACAGTGAAACATGTCTATAAAGGCCACCCAAGGGAGACAAGAATAGTGGTCTTTGTAGGCAGGTGGTCACTAAAGCAGGTTTGACTGTATATCAGGGCCTGCCTTATGAAGAGATGTAATTGATCTGAATCAATTGCAATGGTGTTTGATATCAGCATAGAAAAGGGTTATTGTATCTTTTTGATTGATTAGAGGATGCTGGGCTTTCTATTCTGATCGATTTCAGATGTGAGAAAAGTTGCTTAAACTTTTCTACTGACAGATTTCTATACATGATCAACATTCTAACGGACATTCACTTTAAAGCAGTATCCATACCTGGAAAATGATATCAAATTTACCACAATTATTATTAGATTAGGCTAACTTGGTTAAGCGGTCAGGTGATTTGTGGGTGAATCTTCCTGTTCAATTATGAGTCTATTAAATGAGTGGGTGTCTCGTATGGCATCTGTGCAGCATTCATCCATTCATAGGGATTTTTTATATTTTCTGTGGTGTGTTGTCATGGTGACAGTATTTGACTGTGCGGAAGTATGAAGAATTTTTTTTCCGTTATGACAATTACACCCTTGGTGTTTTAATTTACAGGTGTATTTACCATGATGTTAAAGTGGTAGATGCTTTTACTATAAGGACTTTAGGAATATTTGATTTTTTTTTTCTTTCTTGATTATAAATTTTAATAACCATTCATAACACTGTAGTTTTGGAGGCTGACTGAAATAAGTTGAAATGTCCCTGTACCTGTAGAGTTTAACACAGTTTTCTTTTCTTTTGTCGTGAACTTGACAGACAGAATTCTGATTTTATGTATTAATATTTTTTATTTATTCATTTATCTATTTATTTATTTATTAAATCATTTTCTTCTTCTTTTTTTACCTTTTTGGGGGGAAGAGAGGATGTTTGAGTCTAAGCACAACCATGTAAGAGCAGCCATTGTTAAAGGCCCGGTCACACAGGGAGGACGCATGGGGAACGCACGGCCAGCGCATGGGAAATTTGCAATTTTGGCCAGTGCGTTGTCGTGCGCCCAACTTTTGACACCAAATGCATAGCGTGTTGCTAGCGCGCTGAGCGCATACAGGGCGCATACAGTACGCATACAGACCGTACCCAGAGCGCACATGATACCAACTTCCACGAATGCACAGCTTGTTGCTAGCGCGCTGGACGAATGGTCCACGCATGCACCGCGTTCTACGACGCACGGCCAGCGCATTGGAAATCGGAAAAGGACGTGTGCCTAACTTTTGTCATGATTTTGGAAAAGCTAGCGAGCTGACACAAAATGCACAGCGTGTAGCTAGCGCGCTGTGCGTATACAGGGCGTGTGCCCCGCGTATGTCTGGCGCTGGTCTAGCGCGCTCAACGCACGTCTGGCGTGCCTATGGCGTGTACATTCATGCGTCGAGCTCCGCGCACACTTTTGAGCATGCTCAAAAAATCCCAACGCACACAGCGAATGACGACGAATGCATAGCGCTGGTCCAGCGTTGGTCCAGCGCGCTCGACGAACGAGTAACGAGTGATGACGCACGCCTAGCGAACGACAACGCACTGGCCAAAATTGGAAATTTTCCATGCGCCGGCCGTGCGTCCTGCATGCGTCCCCTCTGTGTGACCGGGCCTTAACCTGGGGTATGGCATAGGGAAGGTTAATCAATGAAAGGATCGGTTTAAATTCTACCTGTATGTACTGTTAGATTAAAGGGGTCACAGCAGTAACAAAGAATTTCATTTAGTGGCCATTGTAACTACTGATTATGAGGTTCATATTATTAGCCTTTAAGAACTATTTTCTGAAATCTACAATGATTCCTTCCTAAGTGACTTTCACATATGTTACATGAGAAAGGTATAATCCTAGATATTATCACTATGAATAATCCTTATGCGTGATGACTTTTCTGGAGATTATGATTATTTTCTCAATCTTTTTTTGTTTGATTGTTTTATCTGACTGCTAAGAAAGCATGTATATACTTGTAAGTAAACACCCAAGAGACCGCCGGTTTGAAGTCCTCTCCAAGGGACTTGGTAATAAGGATTAATGCCTTACCAAAGGGCAGGAGCGCATCGTCTTAGTTTTGAACCTGGGACCTCCCGGTTACGAGACCACCGCTCTACCACTGAGCCATTGGGCCGTCCTATTTATCGTATTTCTTCTACCTCTTCAGAATACCCACACTCCAACGAGACGAACAAGCTTCCTTGCCACGCCCATCCTCCTCTCACCATCATCACCACCAGACAATGTCACTCCATCATCATCATCCGGGCCTAAAGACACTCCCAACACCTATGGGAGCTGGTTCCTGTTCCTCTCTACATCCACCAGTCAGCATCACCAACCTTCAACCACCTCCCAAGAAGGGATCACCAGTCCGAGACACGGATCAGACCAGGATGGGTATGTGTGTTTATACGTGCACCAGTCTAACGTTCTAGGGCAAGACGTCCTGACGAGATGCAGGAGTAGTGGGAACAGAAGAATACTTTGCAGAGATGTTCTTGTGGCATCAACGGAAGAAGAAGGTGAATCAAACATGTTATGTAACTTTAGAGAGGCGAGCAGTCATTAAGTGTTTGTTTGTAAAAGTGCATGTATGGTACATTTTAATATCCTTTGGTACAGTGTATGTCTTCCAAGTGCAGTTTGTGAATATTTGAGGCCAAGTTATAACTATTATTATCATAATGCTTTGTGTCAAAGGATCTAATTATGGTTAAGTGATAAATTAACATATTTCATGAATTATTTATTCTTTCAAAGCTCTTGTGACACTTCAGTGAATGAATATAAGTCCTGAGTACACAGTGGTTTATCTTACCTATAATTGTATATTCTTTAATTTTCAATGATGTCTTTGAGAAGATCTTGTTAAAATTATTTATACACTCTGTATAGTGTATGTATTTTGAATGATTATTTGACAATCAATATTGGGCATATCTACAGGAGATTTGTGGTTAAAGATAAAGTTGAGTTCTGGTCATGCAATTGCATTGTGAAAGAATTGGTGTGGAATCGACCAGAAATGGTTGATTATCTAGCATATACGTATTTCTGTGTATTGCAAGGTTCTGGAATCATCAAAATGAGAAGAAATTTGGCCAAGTCTTGGTAAAGTTACAAACACTGTACACAGAAAGATGTATATGGGACTACACGAGCACGTGGCGTAAAAATCCGTCCCGATTTTTACGATGTAACATGACATATTTAGAATATGAAGGCATTTGAAGAGCCATGCTTTTCAGGGAACATGTTTTGGTATCTGATGTTCTTCCACACTTGCATAATAACAATGATAACGCTCACAAATTATTTTTCACCTCTTCCCAGAACTCAACCTTCTCTTTAATGTAAATATATTGTCCTATCCCAAACATGTACCGGTACTAAATCCGGTAGTTTTTAAAAGACCACTCAAGGTGTGTATCGATTGGAGAAACAAGTACAGGTAGGTTCAATTACAGTAATCAGAATGCAATAACAACAATAAACATATTTAGTTTCATTTTCGTTGATATAGGAGTGTACTTGAACGCCGATGGTTTCAGCCATATCAGTGTAGAGGATGAGTCAGAAGAGGAGAGTGCGTTGAACTTCACTTCACTTTCAGTTCTGAAGGTCGGTACAAGGTTGCATTCTTTGGTTAGTGTCACAGGTAAGATCGTCAGTCTCTCTTCTTCTTTAAATCATTTTAAGCCTGGTTATCATGTTTTCATTTTCCTGTTTTTGTTTTAAAAAAGTGATGATAAATATCAGAAATCTATACGATTTCAGCTGTTACCAGAATTTTTTGTTGCTGTTGACAATTACAATTTATCCACTGACTCTTCTTTTATTTGTAATTGTATCAATAATGAAATAGATTTTTGTTAAGTCTTTGAAAAAAATTGTTGCGAAAATTCCATCTGCATAATGGTATTTTACCAAATGCTCTTTTAATGTTATCGGAAAGTGGGTTCATGCACACATAGAGCTTCAGAGAAGCTCATTTCTCTCCACAAAAGCATTCATTTTTTGTGTTTTTATCATAAATCTAGGCAACATTTGTGGAGTTGAGGAGGAGTCTGCTTTTAGTTGGCCGGCTTGCCCTCATTGTGGAAACAACCATTTAGATGGAGGGGAGGGCAGGTATGGATATCACATTTTGGTGGTGATAGTGATGATGGAGGTGGTGGTGTCTAGTTATGATGGTGATGATGGTGATGATGATGATGATGATGATGATGATGATGATGATGATGATGATGATGATGATGATGATGATGATGATGATGATGATGTTGGCGATGATGATGATGATGATGATGATGATGATAATAATAATGATGATGATGATGATGATGATGTTGGCGATGATGATGATGATGATGATGATGATGATGATGATGATGATGATGATGATGTTTTTGGTGATGATACTGAGGTTTCATATCAGAAAAGAAAGACATTGGAGATTATTTTGTCTATGGCATAGATATTTAACCCGAACCTTGAGTAAAAACAAATTTCTACATGTGTACTTATCACAATTTAGAAATTTGAAGAAAAAATGTCAACTTCTAGAAAATTATTGAAAAATAATAATACAACTAGGGAAACTCTAGGAAGCAACTACAAATTGACGTTCAATTCTATCTGCACCATCATTACTCTAAAGGTGTGTAATGTTACTTTTCTCAAAAAATTCTATAATGATTTAAAGGTCTTTTGTATTATCTTCTAATACGCTCATAAACAATGTGTTTTTTTCTTCTTTTTTTTCTTATCCTAATAGTGGCTTTGTGCTACATTGCTCTGTCTGTAATGAGGATATCAACACACCCGTCATGAGAATGCATCTTATTGTTCAACTCAGTTGCCCCGCCCTACCACCAACTCACTCAGTCAAAGTACAGGTAATGATATTGTTCTTTATACTTATATTATTGTACAGGATACATGTAGTTATTTTTAATCATTTCCTTGTACAAACAATGTTTGTGTCAAGATGATCTACGAAAAGGGGCAATATGATGGAAAACATGTATATCATCCTTATTATTATACAATGTGACACATGCTTGTAAATCTTTTCCATCATCTGTAAACCAATTTTCATTCACTGTTGGGAAATTTGATCTAGACAACAATTTTCATTTAAAAGGATGCACTCAGCATAATTATGAGTACAGAATGGATAGAAAGTACTTTTAGTTTATTGAACTGGTACTTTATTTCTTACATCCTTCTCTCACCTTTCATTGTTATCTTCTAATTTCTTCCTAATTCTTTATTTTCCCTAATTCATAGTTGCTACAGTCAACCATCGAGTCTGTCTTGCCTTGTCCTTCATCACAAACCAGCGGAGGTCACGACCTGCAAAGCACTCTGGGAGTTCTTGTTGGACCAATCAACTGCCTTGTTAGAACTGTCCATGAAACACCAAAAGGAAAGATGTTTCTTTTAGAAGAAGTTTTACTATGCAACTGAGGACGTGCATAGAACAATGATTTTGATATTAAAAAATATTAAAGTGATTCCTCTTTCATAATGTCTTTCTTATACATACAATGAAAAAAAAGTATTGCCTTGTTTACACCAAAGTTTCCATACTGCTTCCATTCTTTCTATATTCAGTAACGTAGTGATACGCTACACTAAATTTCATGAAAAGAAGGATAAAACTTTATAATATCTATTGTTTAAATTTATATTAAAAGCTCTATGAGGTCAATTTTATACTGAAATATAAAAATATATGTATATGCGTTGTGCGATACTGCCAATATATGGGAACTACGGTACTGAGGTGTCTAAATCTCATTTTAATTTGTTGAGTGAGTCCCAGAAAAGTGAAATAAAACCAGTTGGAAATAGCTTGTGTATTGTATGACATTGCCAATTCGATACTTGCAGATGGTTTTATTTGAATGATTTTGTATGTTAATATACCGATGGAATTTCTCTTCTAATGCAAGCTTATTATGAATATTTTCATTACTAGGTAAACAAACAAATCCATCTTCAATTTGTCAAGGACTGAATTCCATAAATTCCACAATTTGTGGTTGTGGTTTAGCTTAGTAATTTATGATTCATAAGTCCCATGAAAAAAATATGTTCCACACGCTTGAGCAAATAAAGCTAAAAATGATTACAATTACTTGGTTACGGTATATTGCATTCCCAGCTGGTGTTTTGGCATTAGGAATCCATAGAAAGTGGGCATCAATTTATTAATTTGGTAAATTGAATTATTTCTTACTCTATATACAGAAATATTTGCCAATTTTTACAAATCAACTCATCATCTCCATTCAGATATTGTCATCTCGGAGAAAAGACTTTTACCTGCCAAATGTTGCAGTATGAGAGAATCATCAATGTTTCTAATTTAAAGGGGGGAATTATTTGTTAAGTACAACAGAAAAACACTGTTTGTAATGGGACATGCAACAGCAAAAATGGGCCGCTTGACTTATGATTAGCAGTTTGTGGTAAAACCCTGTCTTAGCAATAGAGAGAGAGAGAGAGAGAGAGAGAGAGAGAGCAGGGGTAGGTGGATGGGAGGGACGGAGGGAGGGAGAGAGATAGAGAGAGAGAGAGCAGGGGTAGGTGGATGGGAGGGACAGAGGGAGGGGAGAGAGAGCAGAGGTAGGTGAATGGGAGGGACGGAGGGAGCAGGGGAGAGAGAGAGAGGGTGGGGGGGTGGAGAAGGAGGAGGAGAGAGAGTGATTAAGATACATTACAACTCAAGTAATATTAAATACCCAAAGTCAGGGATATTCCAGCTATGATACTTTCCCCACCCACCCATCATATTGAAGTTAGACAAGCATGCGTAGGAGGCTTTCACTTGTGGGTCATTGAAAGTGAAATGCTTGTATATTTGTAAAGAAGTGCTGTTATACTCATAATAATATCATGATAAGTCCTTTTATATAATGCAGGTACTTTATGAATATACTCTACTACACTTGATATGAAAGTTGGGTAGGAGGTTTGATAAGTTTTAAAGGGGTTGTTTAGGAATGGGAAAGGTACAAACTTGTCAAGCTGTAGACAAATGGCCATTATAGAGAGGTGGCTACTAAGACAGGTTTGACTGTAGAAATGTTTTTCTGTTGAGAGCCAGAAGGGTGTTAACTCTCCGATAAAGTGTATGAGGTAATGCTTTTCTGGCTCCTAATAGGAAGTGTCGTGGTCGAGTGGTTTAAGGCGCTTGACTGGAGAAGCAAAGGGCGAGGGTTCGATCCCGACACGGCACTAATATCCTTTGGCAAGATATTAACCTACACTTGCTACTCTCCACCCAGGTGTTAAAATGGGTAGGATGCGACCGTCATTGTTGGTCAAACAGTTGGTCAAACAGTTGGCTGAATGCTCCCCAGGGAGTGGAGGTTGTGCACACAGTGTGTGCGGGCAAGCACTGAAACCAATGACCGGGGTACTAGTATATTTGTAAAGCGCTTAGAGACGTCCGAGATGTATTAAGCGCTATATAAAAGCTGAATATTATTATTATTATTAAATCATCTGCTGAAATTCAGAAGGGCATTGACTGTATGTAAATTCTCTATGAAATAATAGTTTTCCGACTCTCTGTAGATAAATTAGAAGTTCCCTGTCTAAAATTGAACCATAACCACCACTACCTCAGTGGTAAAGATAGCTTCCTTGCCTTGATTCCCTATTGGTTTCTGTCTTCATCGTAATCACCTTTATCAGCATTTCTTGATGGCTTCTTCAAACACAGATCCTCAAATGATTTTCTTTTCTGTTTAGGGAAAGGAGATTGACAGCATCATATCTGCGTTTCATTTTCATTTTCTATGTATGAAATATAAGTGCATTTGGCTGATGTTTGTCTGATATTTACACCTCAGATTTTACCTGGGAATGTTTTTTGGTTTCTATTCAATCTTTAATACCAGGATATGATGCAAATTGATATTGTATTTAACACCTATATGGTAGGATTATTTCTGTTAATGGTAAAGCACTTACATGTATCATTCATGCATGAAAATCTGTTGGTCCATTTGAAAGAAAGTTTTGTTTTTATTAACTTTTTTTTTTAAAATTAGCAATCTTACTCATTCTTCATATTCATGTGTGCAAGAATATCATATTACACGTCAAAAGGATTACTCTTCAAAAGTATGAAACAAAAAGTCGAAACGGTTTACTTCTTTGGACCGGAGTCTGATGCCACGTTCTTAATTACGCAAGCCTACGTAAACCATATCTGTATAAAGTTGCTTTTCATTGTTTGTGATTTTTCAGCATGATTTAGTCATTTTGTTAGTATTTTTACATGTCTAATGTTTAATTTTTACATGTTTAGAACTACATAGACATTCACTCACAGTAACTTCAAGACAGCTTCTCTCCTGCTGAAATTCCATGACCAATACTCAAGATTTTCTTTTAACAATTCATTTTGCCCCTGATAGAAATTTAAAAAAACACTGCTATAGCTCATCAAGTGATATTAATATGATTCTATGATGGAAATATGACACGATATAACTATAACTTTGCTAACGAGCCACTCAATGTCAAAAGTGTTATTTTATACTACTGACCAAGAAAAAGGCATGAACCTATACACGCAAGGTTGTTTACGCAGATATTTAGTTTTGATGGTAGTTTCGCTTCTCTTATTCTGATTGCGGTGTTAACAAATAAAAACCCATGACACACACTCAGGTATAGGAAACTATTCTGTGTCTAGCGCATGACCTCAGGCTAACAAAGTCATAGTTAAAGTCTTCAGAGTGTGTAATTGTTATTAATATCTGCACGCTTCTTTTTTTACTCTCGATCCGTCATCAAAGTCAAGGCACGGTACACCCATTATGCATCTATACTCCAGTTTCTATGCATGTGATTCCTCACCCTTATGATGTTATTAATGTGCATTTGGGGAAGAGGTAATGTATGCGAATGATAATGATGTAATCTTCAATTTCCGTCACTATAACGTCATATTGTTTTAGCACTTTTTGTGGTAGAGATTGAAACTGTTATCAATTGTTTTGTGGTTATCCCACAGCAAACGTAGTAAAACAGATAGTTGGAATACATAGTTGTACTAATGATGTCATATGACATGTATACTATATCTTTATTGCTTTTATGTTATTTTACACGACTAAAGGGGTGGGGGAAGTATGGTACTTACAAACAAAAGTTTGTTTTGTTTGTTTTGTTTGTTTGTTTTTTTGGGGGGGAACCTAATTTGTTTTTTCATCCAGATGTTCTATGCAGTAGCAATTATAGAGGGGGTGAGGAGGCCAAGCCCCACCCCCTTTAAGCTTTTAAAGCCCCTGCCCCCTCCCCAAGCCCCACCCCCAAATACAAAGGTTATTCTTTAAGAATCATCCTTGATTTTATGAAAAAGTACCCATTTTGTTGGGTATAATGGTTTTCTTTTTCAATCCATTTTTTTAAATGATGATTGGTGTTCATTCATTGTTTGTCACATTCGATGCTTGTCTAGTATACTGCCTTGTCAGATATGCATTGCTAAAATTTGAAAATCAGTTATTCCAATATTGCAAAATTGAGGAAATATATGTTTTAGGGAGATACATGCTTAGTATTGAGAGTACCAACAGGACAGATCAAAATGTACGGATAAGCCAAATGTTATCTGAAATTTTGTTCACTATTACATTAAATTTGTTAGTGTTTGATGTTCATCTCCCTATTGAGATAGCAGATATTGTAAAAAGGCATAATCACATGCTAAAGGATACCTGAAATACTTTTTGGCAAATTTGTTGAAAAATGGCCAGAGGCCGTGTGATGTTGTATGACCTTATGTTGAGGTAATGGAGAAAAAATAAATATATATATATATATATATGTGCATCTGCTTCCTTTTGTCTTTACTTTTGGAATTTCGACATATTTATGCACACAAGTTATTTATACTGACATGTTATTATGTGTGAAATTTGTTGATATGCACTAAAATATGAAATTAGTGTCTTATGTGTGAAATTTGTTGATATGCACTAAAATATGAAATTAGTGTCTTCTCTCATTTGTTTTGCTCTCATTTTGTTAGTGTTTTTTCAATTTCCTTTGTAAAATTCTTTATTGGGTTCATTGCAATGCCAGTGTGCTGCCGTTAATATGTTTATTTCTGTATTCAACACTAAAATTGATTTTTTATTTATCCCATAGAAAACCAACACTTTGTATATTCAAGCCATGTGGGGATTCCCCTTAATGATGTCAGGGGATCCCCCCCCCCCCCGCCATACTTAAGTGTACACAGCTTGTATGGCATGTAATTCTACCTCTTTCTCGATATCTCTCTCTCTCTCTCTCTCTCCCTCCCTCACGTCCTCCTTCTCTCCTTCCCTCTATTCGCTCCCTCCTTCATTTGCTCTCTTTCTTTGTCATTCTTTGAAACAAAAATCAATCCAAAAAGTAAGCTCTAAATTCTGACAATCATAAAACATAATAAGTAGTTCCAGAAATCCAGATTGAGATTACATTTGCGACGGTTCTACTCATTCTAGTTTTTATGTGCCATTAAAACTTTGACATGAACTTAAAAAGAAAGCTCTGTGAATTACTTTCATTAATAAAGTTGTCGGTATTATGAGATGATGTTGAGCTGAATACTTGTCATGAAGTCATGCGATGACATGAGGAATGAAAGGAAAAAAATCAAGAGAAAATAAGACGCCTAGTACGTCTGTGATCAGAGAGAGAGAGAGATTGAGAGAGAATGTGAGAAAGAAAGAGAGAGAGAGAAAGAGTGCATGTGAGGAAGAGAGAGAGAAAGAAAGAAGGTGAGAGAGAGAGAGAGAAAGAGTGCATGTGAGGAAGAGAGAGAGAAAGAAAGAAGGTGAGAAAGAGAGAGAAAGAAAGGATGCGAGAAAGAGAGCGAGAGATATAGAAAAAAGAAGGGAAAGTTAGAGCGCGACATTTATGGCGATTTCTAATATTCTCTCTCTCTCTCTCTCTCTCTCTCTCTCTCTCTCTCTCTCTCTTTCAAGAATAGGTATTGCGACCTTACTTTATACAAAATACGTTTCCTGAATCTCAGACCAAAACAGCATCTATTAAAACATCTCGTATCCAATAGTTTCATCAGTGAATGTAATATTAAAGGTAAAGACCAGTTATGGTCATGCGATTGCATTGTGAAAGAAACGTTGTGGAATCGATCAGAAAAGGTTGATCATCTAGCATCTGCAAGGTTCTGGAATCATCAAAATGATAAGAAATTTGGCCCATTCTTCGTAAAGTTACAAGCACTATACACAGAAAGATGTATATGGGACTACCCTATATCTCTCACAGACCATGAGAGAAACAAATTTACCAAATATATGAATTAGTAGGTGGTTTCCCGGCAAATTTTTTATCATCATGTATTAGTCAAAACATATTCTTTCACATGATTGGTAATGAGAGCTTCCATTTCATTTTTTGAAATTTCCAATACTGGTCTTTACCTTTAAGAACAACTTTAGGGGGAGAGGGGGGGGGGGGGCGGCGAGAGGGTGAAACAATTTTAATG